GATTGGACAGGTCCTCCTCTCTTCTGAATGATCGGCATTGCAAGTTCCATGTTGCCCATCATCAAACTAAGAAGGAGTTTTCTGTCTTCGCCGGGACTTGTTGGTTTCCCAAGAGGTCCTTCGATTTCAAACATTTCTTTCTTGAAGTAAGAAGAGCATGGATGCTCTCGATTTGGCTTGAAGAGCCCAAGAACTTCCTTTCTACGCTTCTTCTTTTTTTCAATGACTTCGATGTCGGCTGGTGAAATTTCAAAGACATCTGGATGATTCATTAAAACTTCAACGGCTTCTTTTGTGCGTGCAAGACAAGCCATTCCACGAACTGGCCTTGAAAGATGATACTTTTCATATTCGGAAAGCCTCAAAAGCATCTCAATGTTGTTGTAGATCAGAGCCTCAGAAAGCAAGTGCTCAAACAGATAATCATCGAGTTTCGTTAATTCGAGAACTTTCAAGCCAAACTCGATGTCATTAAAGGCATAAACAAGTGGAATAAGACCATTTGTCTGAAGATAATGGACAGGCGATGCACCGAGATCAATCAAGAATTTATAAAGTTCGAAGTCTTTCTGTTCGGCGGCGAAAAACAAGGCTGTTTCTCCTCCACTCAGAGCTTCTGGCAATCCCATGATGACGTCATGTTGAATGGTCGTGACTTGGTCTACATTCTCAGAATTGGCAATCTGCATCACGTAGTCACGGAAGCCGCATTTGGCTGCAAAAGCAACAGTGTGCTTGTCAACTGGAACGTTGTGTGAAAGTGCAATATCAAACAACTGACGATCATTGAAGCGGAGAACGTCGGACATGCTGATTTCAATTTGTACATCTTTCAATAGCCATTCAAAAAGTTCGGCTGATATTTTTTGACCTGAATGGCGAATTCCTTTCAATACTTTACGTGCATTGAATTTGAAATCAAGATTTTTGGTCTTCAGAATGTTGATTATGTCTTGGTTCTGGCTGAAAAGTGCATATTGTGGACATCCTTCTAAAAATTTGTCACTTTTTGTGAGGGCTAAGAGATAGGTGAAACTTTTTGAGGACCCAAAGAAACAGGCAACTTCAAGATCATTCATTTGGATCGATTCATCGTGGAATTCATGCCTGATAATGGTTGTCTCAAAGGGATCTGGTAAATAATCGGATTTGCCTGGCTTGTATTGCTTGCCTTTGATCTTTTTGCGGAGAGATTCAATATCATCCCTTCGAATGAGCTTTTGTATGGGTGTAAGTGAGCTTTCAACGCATTTTATACCATCATAGTGTGGATGGGGAGGTAGAATAAATTTGCCGGTGAGATTTGGTGTTGGATATTCATCTTCATCTTCTTCAAACTCGTCTTCTTCTTCCCTTCCCCAGTTGGGCTTTTGGTAATCATCTTCGTAGGCACCAACAGCGGTGAGTAATTCGTTAACAATTCCCAAAATATCCATTTTATAGAGTGAAACTAAAATTAAATACTACTTTGAATTGATTTATGAAAATTGAAATATTATTCCGTTCGACCATTTACTTTTCAGAGTGTATTTGTTATTAAAATTGAATTGTTTTGTTTTGATATAAATAACTTTATTATCTCATTAAATAAATGATATAAATTAATTTTTTTAATTATTTTATAAGTAATTTAAAATATATTAATATAATAATCTTATTATAAAGTATATTTTAATTTATATGTTATATTTATTTAAAAATAATAATTATCAAGCAACTAATAAATTAAATCATAGCATATTACAAATGCATTATCGAGGATTCCCTTGACCAAAAATTTGTAATTTAGAGTATATATCTAAATCATGAAAATCATTTTATTCTCTTTAAAAAAATATTCTTTTTGAACTTCAACGATGTTTTATTTCATGATAAATGTAAATTTACCAGAAATAATTAAACAAGACTCAGAAAATAGAAAATATTTATATTGATTATTTTCTTATAGTATGTTACAAGAAGATATATCATTGAATATCTTTTAAAACAACTTTTTTAAAAAAATAATTCTCAATTATTGCAATAAAAATCCCAAAAAAATATTTTAAAATTTTAAAGTCAAAAAACGTGTTTTATCAAATTTGAATAAAAAAACACGTTGCAAAAAACACGTTATTCATATACGTTTTAAAATTAAATGAATTATTTAAAAGCATGAATTGAATTATTTGAATAGCTTTAGATTTCATCATTCAAAAAAATAAAATTTTTTTATCAATTTATTACACATCATAATTTTTGTTTAAATGCCACGTCAAAAATACCATCTTCCCAAAACAATTTCTTTTAAACAAATGGATGGTACAGAGAACGTATTTATACGTAATGAAGAGCTTGGGCGTGGCTCGTTTTCAATTGTATATCGAGTCATCCATCAGAACACAAACAAAACTTATGCAATGAAAGTAATATCCAAAAAAGAATACATGAAAAGTAGAATTGCCTTTGAAGATTTGCAAAACGAGATTAAAATTCAAAGACTTGTTAATCATCCAAATGTTGTAACATCAGATTTTTCATTTTCAGATGAACACAATCACTACTTTATCCTCGAATACTGTCCAGGAAGAACTGTTCGTGAATACCTCCATAAAAGTGATAATTCCAGATTAAGAGAGCCAGAAGCTAGAAAAATTCTAAGAGACGTTGTCCAAGGCCTAGTTTACATTCACAACCACGACATAACTCATTACGACCTTAAACTAGAAAACTTTGTAATCGATTCTAATGGAAATGTGAGAATTGGCGATTTTGGCCTCTCAACCTTTTGCAGAGACGAAAAAGGGAAAAAGTTCTCAATTTTCGGAACATTGAATTACTTGAGCCCCGAAATGGTCTCCAGAGGAAACAGAGAAGAGACGGCTAAGGTCGATGTTTGGACAGTCGGCGTTGCGGCCTTCATCTTGCTCACCGGGAGGGAGCCTTTCGAAGGGAAAACGAAAGAAATAACGTTCCAAAACATCAGAAAAGGCGAATTTCAGTTTCCAATCTGCTTGTCGCTCTCAAATGAAGCCAAAGACTTCGTAAGCAAGATCCTCCAAATAGACCCGCGCAAGAGGCCAACTGCAAAAGAGCTCCTGGGCCATCCTTTCTTGACCAAAATCGACAGTGAAGCGGTCTGCCTATACAAATCAAGCAACTTGCCGCCGCTGACTAAGTCGCCAACCACGAAGCCGGTCTGCGGCCCGCCAAAAGAAGACAAAAAGCCAATCCCGCCCAGACCGCAGAATGCAAACTTGAAGCCGGTCTGCAGCCCGCCAAAAGAAGGCAAAAAGCACGTTACACCTAGAAGGCCAAAGGTCAACTTAAAGCCAATTTGCAGCCCAGTAATCGATGACGACGCACAAGAAGAAGACGATAAAAAAGAATCTGCAGATGTCAGCATGAAAGCAGCAATTAATCATCCAAAGGAAGATGATAAAAAAGAATCTGCAGATGTTAATGTGGAAGCTGCTGTTTGTCCTCCAAAAGAAGACGATAAAAAAGAATTTGAAGGAGTTCCAAAGGTCAATTTAAAGGCCGTTATTTGTCCTCCAAGTGACGACGATAAAGAAGAATCGCCAAGAATTCCAAATGTCAACTTGAAGGCCGTTATTCGCCCGCCGAGCAAAGATGTCAGGCCAGTCACGCCGAAGCAGCCCGGACGCAACATTGTTCGACCAATTACGCCAAGAAAATCGAATGCCAAGCTGAAGCCGGCATGTTGTTCGCCGCGCAATGGCATCAGGCCAATTTCGCCTCGCGTTGGTCTTCTGAACAGCCACAATAAAGTAACGCTGACAGCCTGCAACGATATCAAACCGATAACCGTTAAGAACTTCGATATTCCGAACCACTTTGTCTCCCGCCACTGCTTCTACAACGACGACCTCGGCTACCTGTTGTTTGATGGCACAGTCGGCATCTGCTTCAAGGACAAGTCTCGTGTTGTCATGGATCCAAATGAGCAATTTATTCAGTTCTATGAGAAGCCGAGCACTTTTTACCCAGAAGTCACTCGCCTTGATAACCTGAAAGGAGAAGAAGCCGAGCCAAGACACGTTTCTTTAGTGAAAAAAGTCGCAAGGCATTTCAAGAAAATTAGATTTTCGTATGATTTGCCAGATGTTCAATATGAGTCCGTTGCTCTTCTTCATAATATCAGCTGCTTTGTTAAAAATGATGATTCAATCCTTTTCAAATTGGACGATAAGAATTTGCAGGTGAACTTTAGTGATCATATGAAATTGATCATCTTTTGGAACACAAAGAAAATGTGCTTCTTTAGATCAGTTAAAGAAAAATGCAGTTTATTGGATTTGAAATATGTCGCTAGTATGAATTCAAATAGTGATGAACTTAAGAAATTCAAAAATGCTAAAATTTTATTATCAGATTTGGCACTCACTATCTGTTAATTTTGTTTTTATTTATATACCATGTAAAAAATTGTTATATTCGTGAAATTTAATGTATTCTTTTATTATTTAAGTATTAAAAAAAAAAAAATTTTGGGAAATAAAACGATCAAAAAAAATTCAGTTGGAAAAAGAACTTTTTCAATACTTAATGATTATAATATTGAATAAATACCAACTTCATTATTATTTTATTAGTTTCAAAAGGTAATATTCCATTTCTGAAACAGTTTCCAATTTGACTATATAAATATGTGAAACTGACATCAGAGAAATCTCAATTCCATCCAATATTAAAATCATCGTAACAAATGCATTTGACCATTGCTGCAATCTTAAGAAAGTTGAAATTCCAACAAATTCAAATTAGCAAATAATTGAATCAAATGCTTTTTCTTGTTTAAAAGAATTGGAAAAAGAATTGTTTTCGTAAATCAAATAATAAAACTAACATTAAAATTTCTCCATTGAACACAGAATCTCATTCGTTAATCAACATTTATATTTGTGTTATTTTAGAAATCTAAAAATTTAGAATTTCTCAAAACTATTTAGATTTAATGATGTACAATAAAATTTAAAAAAAAAAAAAAATCAAAAAATTGGTTGTTGTGGGAGTCGAACCCACGTCAAACCTGATTTTAAGTCAAGTGCCTTTGGCCGCTCGGTCCAAACAACCTCTGTGATTATTTTATTAAAGCATTTATTTAATTGAATTTACATTTTAACTATTTATATTAAATAATATGAAAAAATTATCAATATTTGGGATTTTTATGTAAAAAAGGGAATATTTATTTATGAAATCAATGATTGTATTAAGGCATTATTTTTAATTGATAACAATTCAGAATTATGTGTAAATCCAATATTTGAATGTTGTTTAAAAATATGAAATGCTCTAAATCCGAATATTTTAAAAAAATAAAGAATTATCTAATGAGTAACTTATAAAATCATTATGATGTTACTTTTCACATTTAATTATTCAACTTTCCTATATAGAGTATATTAATTTTATAATTTGGTCTGTTTATTTAAAAAGATAGAATAATCAGAAAATGAATTTAAGTTTTTTTAACCTAAGAATTAATTTTTTTTCAGATTTAACATTATTTGATCAAATGAATCACTATCATCGATTTTTTCAAGATCTGATGAATCTGATTTTAATGGAGATCCATTAAATAGCATAAGATTGTTATTATGGAAAATATTTAATTGGCATTTGTGTTTTCCAGCATTATATTTGTTATTTTTGATTTTATTGTTAACATTTATTTTAATTGGTTCTAAACTGCAATCAGATGCGTTTTTAATAATTGACTCGCAAACTTGTATCTCTGTTTGCGTTTGAACTGATTTTAACACTTTCTTTTTTTTTTCGAACAGTGATTCTGAGATTGAATTTATTTGTAGAAGCAGCTGCTGAAGATAATCAATAGTTTGTGAGTTAACAGTGATTGTTTTTCTTGTATCATCCTTTTCTTCCAATTTTAATTGTTGTTCTTTTACTTAATAAATATGACTCTCCAATTGTCTATTTAGATGTTTTGCCGTTTTTTCTTTGTTTGTCATTAAGCTTTGTTTTAGCTTCTGCCCTGCAGCTAATATTAATTTTGTGAAGTCCGTTTATAATAATTTAATGATAAATTTTAACCCGGAACTTCTTCATCATTTGGTTTTCAAAGAGTTGGTAGTATGTAAAAAGTTTCAAAATATCGAAAATTTTTATAATTTTAAATAATATTTTAATAAAAATGAATTAGATGATATAATCTAAAAATGCAAAAGATATCTTTTCTAATCACAAGAAATAATATTTTAATTTATTATATCCTTTAATAATGCATGAAATATCTGAAAGAATATTTGAAAAAACTAATATAAAGCAAATCACAATTCCTTCTTCTGTAACCTCAAATGGAAGAAATGCTTTTTATCATTGCGATTCTTTGAAGCATATCGTAATCCCTTCTTCTGTAACATAATTTGGAGGATATGCTTTTAATGGATGTTCAAAATTAATGCAAATAACATTTAACACTCCTTCTTCTGTAACTTTAATTGGAAATTCTTCTTTTCTTGGATGTTCTTCATTAAAAATATCAATTCCTTCTTCTGTAACTTCAATTGGAGATTATGCTTTCAGAGAATGCACAAATCACATTTGAAATTCCTTCTTCTTTAACTTCAATCGGCGTTCAGGTTTTGTCACTAATTGACCAAATACGGTTGAGGATTAAATAAAGAAGAAGAAGTACCTTTGAATACTTACTGGTGATGAAGAAGAGCCAGCGATGGGGATGAATTACAGATGATGATTATTTGGATTTGAGGGAGAATTGTTGATGACGGCGAATTACAGATGGTGACGGGATTCAAAAGATGACGAACTACTGATGAAAAAATAATTAGGGATTATGAAGAATTACTAATGTGATTCTTCTTATTTACTGATTCTTCATCGTCTCTAGTTCGTCTTCATTTGTAATTTTTCTTATTCTGTATCCTACCATAATCTGTGATTCATCATCATGTGATTCTTTTTCATCAATATTTCTTCTTTATTAATAATCAATCAGAGAATAAAAAGAAATTCAGATGAGGAAGAAATACAGATAAAGAAAGATCAGAGACAAAGAAATAAAAAAGAACACGAATCACAGACGAAGATGAATAAAATGAATCAGTATTAGTAGTTTTTCATATCTCTGATTCTTTTCCATCTGTAGTTCATTATAATAAGTAGTTAGTAATAATCTTCTATAAAAGAAAACATTTTTAAAACTTGCAATTTTATTCAAAAAGTTTTATTCAGAAAAAGTTGTATAACGATAGACGATAGGTAATTATTTTGAATGTTTCATATATTAATGAATTAATATCTTGAAATAAAGAACTAATCTTCAAAATCGATGAAACAAATAAAAAAGCATCATTATTTAAAATCAACGACTCTATTGAAGAAGTTGTTATTCAGCGAACAGTAATCTATGAATCCGCTGAGTACTTAATCACTAGCATTAATTGTACAAGTCCTAATGTCAAATATTTCTTTTGTGGAAGATTCAGCAGTCAAAACATTTTACAGTTATGCACTCTATCATGAAGTTAGAGAAATTGATTTTCCAGCAAGTTTGAATGAATTGAATGAAGAATGGTGTTGTGAAACCTTTGATTTGATAAATATTATCAACAACTATTTTGTCTTCAAGTACAACAACTATTTGCTTGGGAAAACTGACGAAAACGAAGACGAATTTGATAATTTTCTATTTGCAAAACGTAACATCAGAGAAGTTTCAATTCCACCGAACATTAAAGTCATATCACCATATGCATTTGATATGTGTAGATATTTAAGAGCAATTGAAATTCCAACGAATTCTAATTTGCAAACAAATGGATCATATGCTTTCACATTGGCAGAAGTTAGTGAAATTTATTTTCCTGCAAGTTTGAAAGAATTGGAAAAAGAATGGTGTTGTGCAATGTCCAGATTGAGAAGAATTAATGTTTCACAATTGAACAAAAAATTTGTCTTCAAAGACAGCATTTATTTACTTGGGAAAACTGATGAAAATGAAGATGATTATGATATTCTTCTATTTGCAAGGCGTGACATCAGAGAAATCTCAATTCCATCCAACATTAAAATCATCGCAACAAATGCATTTGACCATTGTTGCAATCTTAAGAAAGTTGAAATTCCAACAAATTCAAATTTGCAAATAATTGAATCAAATGCATTTTCTTGTTTAAAATAATTGGAAAAATATGGTTTTCGTAATACAAAAAATTTAGCTAACATTAAAATTTCTCCATTGAACAAAAAATTCATCTTCAAAGATGACAAATATTTACTTGGAAAAACGAAAATAAAGATGAATATGACATTTTACTATTTGCAAGACGAGACATCAGAACTGTTTTATAAAAATCTTTTCATCGCATGCATTTAAAGGTTGTTTTTTCCGAAGAAATGTTGAAATTCCAACAAATTTCAATTTGCAAATAATTGGATCTGCAGCATTTTCTCTCATAATCATTGAAGAAATTTATATTCCACCTAAAATTACTAAAATATGTAAAGGTGCATTTCATCTTTGCAATAATCTAAGAAAAATTGAAATTCCAACCAATTCTAATTTAAGAACAATTGAAGCAGAAGCTTTTTCTGGACAAAAAAAAGAAGGAATTGTTATTCCACCAAAAGTGTCAAATTGGTAAAAAAGCATTTTATAAGAAAAAATTTAAAAACTATTTGAATTTCAGAAGAATCTGTAATGAAAACATTCAATTTTTCATCTTTTTCTGGATCTCCAGAACACATAATTATGATTCCACCAATTTGGATTAATCATTAGAAACAAACAAATTATAATTAAATTCAACTTATTTATATTCTTAATCATATTCAAATTTTTACGTTCTAAACTACAAATAAATATTATTTTTAAATATATAATATATTTAATAAAATTGCTCTCTTTTTTTAATCTAATAATTGAAAAAACATATTATCCTTGCCAAAACAGAAAAAAATATCATAATTTAAATATTGTAAATACAGTTTATTGACTTGAAAATTGATGTGCTGTATTTTTAGCTATTTTCAATCCAATATATTTATTACTCATTTTCAAAAAAAAAAAAAACATAAAATAGTTGTTGTATGAATTTTTTAAATTATATGATATATTATTATCTTATTTTATAAATTTAATTTCCATGTTGTAAAATAAAATATGGCAGAAAATAAAAAATAGAGAAAAAATTTTATTCATTCAATTTTATTTTCACGACCTTCTTAAATTTTTTATGGCTTCTGAACAAAAACAGGGAACAATTTTGTATGTTATTTTAAATACAGATCTTGATTGGCCATGTGGTGCAATGATTGTTCAAGGTTGTCATGCTGTCATGAGTTTGCAAGCCAAATATCATGACCATCCAATGATGATCGAATATTTAAGCGATTTGCCAAATATGACAAAGCGTTCTTTAGGAATTTCGCAAAATAAACTCGAAGCTTTTATGAAAAAACTTGATGATAAAAATATTATTTATTCAGCTTGGACCGAAATGCCAGAAAATGTTATAAGCGCCATTGCATTATTGCCATGCTATCGAAATGATCCAAAAGTTAAATCTGCAATCAGCGGACTTAAAAATTATGCATCGCCAGCTCCTCCTCCTCCAAAGAAATAAACAAATATGCGTTAATGAATACTTTTTTTTGGCAAATTCATTAAATAATATTAAATAATTCAAAAATTATCTGATTTATTTTTTCTAATTATTTGCTAGCTATTTAAGCAATCTTGTATCTTTTTCATAGTTTAAAGTGGATTAATGAGATTAAAAAAAGAAACAACTAAAAAAAAAAAAAGAATAATAAAATGATTTTTAATTATATATCTACTAATATAGATATATAATTAAAAATCATTTTATTAGTAGGTGAAAATATCCATATTGTCAAAAATATGATGAATTTGAGAATATTATGAATGAATTCAATGAAAACTTATCATTTATTCCACTTAATTGATTTTCTTGAGGATAACAAAGTTGAAATTCATAAGTAGCATCATTTGAACAATTTTGAAATGATATTGATATAAGCATTCTGCAGTTAGAAAATGAATTAGGTTCTATTTTGACTCTTCTTCT